TAATGAGAAAATACCAGATGTTATGTGTCTGGTATTTTCTCAGTTTGTTTTTTATGTGTTTATATTTTTGGGCTGCAAAAAACAGTACTGAAAAAAAAGGGTTCCAACTAAAGTAAAAAGTTTTGGAAACCCTGGTCTAACCAGCTTTCTGTCTGTCTTACAGTCCATTTATCCAATCCGTATTACTTAACTTGCTGGCAAGAATATTGTGGGTGACCATATCAAAAGCTTTGCTAAAGCTGGCACTGGGGTTTTTGGGAGGACCAGAAACAACTTATTTGAATATTCATCATTTGATTAATGAATATGCAAATATGCAAATGAACGTTCCCCATCCTCCAAAAGTTCGTGAATAGATTTACTGGTCCCCGTGTCAAAAAGTTTGGGAACCCCTGATTTAGACAGTGACCAACTCCTGGTCACACATGAGGGAGGACTGCTGTGAAGGGAATCTAATCCTCTGTGCGCTGGATCCTCTGAGTTCTGGAGCCCAAATGGAGTTCAGCTACTGCCCTAATATCTGGCTTCCTAAGCACACTCTCAGGGCACAGACCTTCTATCTGGCATCCCCTCCAAATGCTGGAACCTGTTGTCCAGTTACCTAACCCCTCGGGATGCAGTGCAGGCCCCTGTCTCCTCAATACATAACACACCTTTCTCCCAAAACTCCACCCAACAGGTGTGAAACTTCTAGTTTACAGATTAATTTTCTCAGGGGCACCAAGGAATTGTGAAACAGACAACACACATGCGCGCGCGCACACACACACACACACTTTGTTCAGTCTTTCACTTTATGCTGTTTATATTTAATCAGGTAAAGCACAGGAGAACAAAACAAAATATCCTAAAGGTATAACACCCTTTACTACTTACTTTTCCCTAGGGTCACTTGCTTCCTTTGCTCTCCTGATAACTTTCCATTACTTCCAACCCGTTGCCCTTTAAGACAAGAGGAGGAAGGGTCTTCCCCCAGCTACAGCAACTCATTGGCCAAAGGTGTTTTACTTTGAATAAACCACCACTGAATGCAGGTCTGGCTTGGCAGAGTCCTGACACAAACCTGCTAACTCATTGTGGCTCCACAGGCGTACAGGATTTCCATGAGACAAAAGTTTCATGAGCTAATTTCATACAATTATCCACAATTCAAAAGTGGGACAGATAGAAACTCTAACTCATCACAACTATAACACATCTTGTATGTCCATAAGATGCCACAGAGCACTGGGATTTGAACCCTTTGAAACAAACCCAATGTAAAAATACCAAATTCGAGGATTCAAGTATCAGGTGGCATGGTCACATGTCTTTGTAGAACCAACCGCAGTTGGGCTTATAGGAAAAATAAAACTATTTATAGATCGTTGTCTTGAGTACCAGGCCATTAAGTCCCATAAATCCCACTAATGACTCTCATTAGACATTCTAGATTAATAAGCAGGTTTACACTTCATATATCTAACTTCACATACAAGAATGACACATGCACACAAATAGAATACACACATTCAGGGACCCACAGGCTCTTGAGTGATAGGTTACTTGCCCCATTTTGCATGGTGCATATTTGAGTCATGTTAAAAACATATTTCCATACAAATATGGGGGAAAGTGTCATAGGAGGTAAAGCCATTATCCTTCTTTTTCTCCTCTTTTGTGCTGGGACCACAATTTTGACAGGCATTTGTTGAACTTTCTTGCTCTGGCTCTTTTAAGGGTAGGAAAGATGGATTTCTTGGCCAGAAGTATCTCCATGTTCTTTTATCTTAAATTAATGTGAGACTTGACAAGGACTGAGGCCCAGATATTTAATAGTATTTAAACGCTCTCCCGCCTATCCTGTCAAGTCCAAGGCCCTCCGGCCTGAGTCCAGAACACAGTTTAGGGTTGTAGCAAGGACGCACCCCAGGTAGGGGGACCCAGGCCCACCCTACTCCACCGGGTCCCGGCCCAGGGCCCTGTGAGCGACCGGGTAGCGGGTCACTCCCTCAGCGGGGCAATCCCGCCGAAACACACGGAGGTTTTCTGGGCGGGATAGGAGGATCCTGCTCCTGCCCTGGGCCACTTCCTACCTGGTTCCCTGGGGTTCCTTCCCCTGTACTCGCCCAGCTTGCTGCGACCTTCGGGCTGGCATCTCCTCGGCAGGCAATCCGTGGGTCACACCCACTCGCCTCCGCGCCCCGTCCGGCCTCTCCTGGAGTCTCGGGCAACAGCTGGGCAGGCACTCCCTTTGCAGGTCCTTCTCCTCCAGCTGACCTCCAGACTAAGTCCTTCCGCAGGCTTTTATAGTGGAGCTACAGACTGGGCATACTCGGTAGGGCTGTGGGGGAGGGGCCTCTGCAGCCAGGTAACCCTGGCTGGGCCCTTCGAGTTCAGTGCGGGGCTGCCTCGCCCTGTCACAAACACCTATCTCCTATTGAAAACTATGTACTTAAAACTAACAGTAAACTCAAAGTAAATTTTCTTTGGAATTTCAAGATGTTTGGTTAATGTTTTTGCCCTGTTATGCATGCCTCTGTCCTTGCTGATACAAGTTGGATCTGACGCAGACATAACATGTGAGTAGCCTTTCTTGCAAAAACCCAACCTTCTGGAAGATAAGGGGGTCTTTTCACCTTTTTATTAGTTCATTGATGTCCCCACAACATGGTTGTAATCTACGCATTATCATGCATATATCAACTCATCAATATTTGTTCTGTATGGTTGCACTGCCGTACTTCTGATCAAGCCAGAATCCAGGTACTATCATACAAATAATAACAGGAAGTAGTAAGATTTCACAATCCAGTCAAATTACAGCTTTCATCCAAGCTATTTTATAACACTAGAATTGTTATGGTCAGAGTCACCAGAGATGCTGTTGCAAGTATTCTTACAAGTTCTTTGTCTTAGCATGTGCACACTGTTCAGTCTTTGAAGAAATGCTTCATTGTTCTTTGTGTTGTGGTATAGTATTTTGGGAGGAGTTCTCACAAGCCACAGGGCAGGTTCCTCTTTGCCTTCATCTTTCTAAATAAATGTTTAGGAATAGTTTCTCCCTGGGCATAGGGGTTTTGTCTGAGATTCCTAAAAGAAGGAATTTTCTGGAAGCCATGTGTTTCTGCCACTTTAGTTGCAGGACTGGTATCTATATAGCATAATAAACAAGTTTTATAATGAATATGCCTGGACTTCATATCCCCAGTTTCTCCTCCAACAGGAAGCTGATCTTCAAGGCCTGGTATCTGCTACCTCAGACGAAAGGGCTAGCAATATCATATGTTCGGATTACCTGTGTTTGCTGTCCTTGTACACTTGTATTTTAGGAAGTTGAAATTTTTTAAATTATTCCTTCTCCCTATCTTTTTTATAAACTGTATGTGTGATATTTAAGCAACACAAATATGTGTTATCCAGTCCTATATTCCATTATTGGTGAGCCTTTTTTTCAAGCACTGAACAGTCCTAGGCCTGGTCCTGCATTTTTTGTGTCCCCCAAACTCCCAAAACAGAATAAACACAATTATCACTCACAAACAGAAAGGGGTAGGTCAGATGTAATACACAATGGAGGCCTACTACCATGCATTCTAAACTTCCATTGAGGTCAACAGAGTGACCCAAGGGAATAATTTGTCCCACGATTATGTCCAGTGCTCTAAACTGGTTTTTTTCCATGTCTGGTAGTGAGACTTACACTAAAGCCATGAAGTTTGAATTGTTACTAGCACTATTTGTGTGATAATCATGAAAAGTAGATTATTTTAATGAGCTGCTTTTTATTTTTGATAATATGGGATTTATGCTTTGCTCAGATTATGAATGTACTGTAAGTCATGCAGCTGCGAGCAGGTTTGAAAATGGTCAGTTAAATTCCTTTTAGTGCCATGTCTAATACATGTACAGTAAACTTCCGATAATCCGGCACCTTTAGGACCCAGGGGGTGCCGGATTATCAGATATGCCGGACTATCAGAAGGGGGGGCTATGAGGGGTCTGGAGTGGGGTGGGAGGGGATGCCACCCCAGACCCCTCATAACCCCCCCTTACGATAGTCAGGCTCTGCCCCAGGAGTCCCTGATTCAGTTGCTGCTGGTCAGTTTCAGCAGCAGCTGACATGGGGAAGTCTGGGGCAGAGCAGCTGGGGTGCTGCCGGGGTGGTCCCGCAGTGCCAAGGGGCGCTTCCCCCCTCCCACTCCACTCCAGACCCCTCATAGCCCCCCCTTCCGATAGTCCAGCATATTTGATAATCCAACACCCCCTGGGTCCTAAAGGTGCCGGATTTCCAGAAGTTTACTGTACTTCAGTCAGCTAGTCTTCCCACTAACTGCAACAGAGAGTGAATAAGTAAGCAATGAAGGATCAAGCTGTACAGTGATGCAAATATAAAAGACCATCATAATAGAAAAATGTCACATTTTCATTTGAAAAAGTTTTGTAACAGCAAGCAACTTACACTGCAAAATTACTAGAACTGAACAATAAGAAAAATATTTCCTCTTTTTTTTATTTCAGTTTATTTATGTTGTGTGTTTGACAGCATTTTGGTTATCATCAGTTTCCCCTATGATTATGATGGGTTTTTTTACAAGGCATCACGTAAAAGAAAAATATAGAAAATTGATTATAAGTCTACAAAAATTGGCAGCAGGTTTCAGGGGCAGAACTGAATGTACTTCCTTCTCTTCAGCTGCTGGTCAGTTTCAGCAGCAGCTGAATGGGGGAAGCCTGTCCGGCTGCCCCAGCACTTCCGGGTTCCTGATGGTGCCAGACCATCAGGAGTCCCGGAGCATTGGATGCCGGACTAATGGAGTTTTACTGTATATGGTCCAGAGATTGGAATGGCTTGTTTCAATTTCATGCCCATCATTTCTACATTTCATCCACTTTTTCCTCATTACTGTGGTATGTGGAAGTGAAAGGGAGGAAAGTAGGAATAATGTGGTTAGATAACACAAAGAGATCTTAAAGAAAACAAAAATGTGAATTCAATAGAATGCCTGCTCAGATCAATTATGAGTCATGACATTGCACATGAAGGTAAGTGTGTGTGCAAGAAATTTCTATTCAATAATCCCTAGTAAAAAGAAGTCAAAGTGTTCATTAATTGTATTTCAATTAAAAATATTAAAATGCACTAGTGCTTCCAGAGAAGTGGGATTGTTTACTCTCACTAGAATTACATCATCAAACTTTGATTAATGAGACATTTCTAGAGTATATTGATTGCCTATATGAACTTTGATGCATTTATGAAGCCATGGCTGCTAGAACATAGTTTTTTTACATAACAAGAAAAGCAGTTTCCTGTCAATCTATGTCAGGCTCAGAAAGTGGGACTATTTGCAAGCACAGATCATCCAGAAAAGAAATTGGAAATGGTAGTTCTGTATGTTTTGAAGAATGACACAGCCTGGATGCAATAAGGTTTCTCAAAGGCAAAAATCCAGGCCTCTCAAAAATCCCAATGTCTGGATTTGTCCAATAAGATTAAATCAAGTAGTCTGTTTTTGTGGAAATTAGTATAAGTAATAAAAAAATGCACTTACAGTTAAACTTCATGTTTTCAAACGATGTCTTTGCTTTCTGATTCAGTGACTATTTTATTTAAGTGGAACAATTGGATTTTTAAAAAATTTGACATAGGAGGACAGTTGGCACAGTGATGCTTTTGTTTTTTTTCCATCATGAGTACAGCTACATAATCTTATATGGCATTTAGGGTTTATACTCAGACTCAGATTATGTGTGTTATGTAACTTCACAGGAATCTAAAAACACCTGACAATCTAAAAATAAGGAGAACTGTATGGGCCCCAAATGACAATATTTTAGTATTTTCTGATGTGCTTCCATAATGGCAGTCTATTTTATGGTAAATTCATATTTATCTGAGCATTTTTCCTTATAAAATGGACTTTTCTGTTCTTAAGGTTAAGCAAAACTATAGAATTACCTCATAGTACTGTACTATCACATTTGTTTAAAGAAGGCACACACTATGCTTTCTCTTCCTTTACTCTCTGGCTATGTCTAGACTACAGGGTTTTTCCAGGATTATCCCAGAAAAATTCCACCACGTCCAAGGAACACATCTGCTCTTCTGCTTTTTATTTTGCCGAAGAGCAGACACACTCTTTTGGAAGCCCTGTCTTCCTCTTCCCACAAGGAAAAAGGGCTCTTTCAAAAGAGGGTTTTTTCCCAAAATTTGGCCCACTGAATTCGGGCCAAATTTCAGAAAAGCCTCTTCTGACAAAACTATCAGAAAAGGATATGAAAATTGCAGAGTGCAATTTGTGTACCTTTTTCCAATAAAGCCCCATTATATAGACATAGCCCCTGTGACAGGGCATCTGCCCCACATTGGGAGAAGGCTGAAGCAGTGGAGCTGTGGAGCCAGCAGCTGTGGCAGTACGAGCCATTTAGGGCTCAGCTGAAGGGTGTATAAATAAAGGCTTGGGGAGACATGGAGACAGGCACACTTTTGGCTCTGGCTGAGGAGCAGGAGGGACTGGTTGCTAGGGAAGCTGAGTGCTTCTGGAGATAAGGCCTGAGAATACTTTGGCTGTAGTTAGAGCAGGGCTGGGGAAAGTACCACAGAGCTGGGGAAGCTCTGCCAAGCAAATTCCCAGGCTGCAGGGCCTGAAGCAAGGCATGAAACTACTAGGTCTGCAGAGAGCCATCGTTGTAGGCAAAGGCAGCATATCTACTCAATGATAAGTGGCTAGTGCAGACAGCAGTTTGCCCCTGAGGTAAGGGGCTAGATGAAGACTGGCAGTGGGCCACTGAGGCAAGGAGGGCATGGGGGTTAGGGGTTTCCAGAGGGGGAGAACCCCAACAGGCAGAGACATGGGGAGACACTAGACAGAAGGGGGTGCTCCAGCACCAAGAAGCCAATTCCCAGAGTGACCAGCAGGAGGTGCTCTGGTGGTGAATCACTCCTGTTACACTCCCCTTAATACCAAAGTCATTTAGTGTGTGAGCAACTTTTAAAGTTGAATAGAGTCAGTTTCCATCTTAACAACAAACTTTCAGTCAAACAGATGGCAGATTATTAACTGAAATTCTTTTAAGGGTCTCTTCAGATCCTGGCTTTATAAAGCATGAACTGTAATATATCTCTTTTTTTCTCCCTCTTTCTATGTGCTTGCTGTTGATCTTTTTTTTCTTCATTTGCCAATCAATAACTAAGAAAGTCACACCAGATTTTCCTCATGTAAAGCCAGGTTCTGCCATACTTACTTGTGTTGAGTAGTACCTTTACCTAGAGTAATCCCTCTGAAATTCATGGGATTTGATCTACGCTTTTTTTTTTCTCCTTAGCCTGGCACCATACAGTTCCTTTCTTCAGTCACCAGGCACTCAGAGGCTGGCCAGAAGCAGTCCCTGATTCTTTAATATCTTTCTCCATGTTTCTACTCAAGTACTTTAAAGAGGCATGGACAGTATGGATGCATAGCGGATGTGCAAACAACTGGGATAGCTTCATAGATTTGCTCAAAAAAAAATCCAAGAGTAAATTCTGTACATAGGCTTACAGCGGTTTACATGATTTCAGGTTCAAAATAATTACTATAATCCCTTCAGATGACAAAGTGGAATTGTTACATTTCTCTCAACAATAATATTTAGTGTTAATGCAGCATGCAGCAGGTGGGACCAAATCTGCAAGCTACATTTTCTCTGTTGGAATAGGAAGAAACGAATGTCCTCCAAGGCTGCTGAGTTGGGATGTAAGCTATAATCATCCCAACATGCACAGGGAGTGCATTCTGAATTATTCAAAGTTTTCAGACCTCATTCTGTTCTGATATTGGTGCAAATCAAGAATAAGTCTGCAGGAGTCAAATGACTCATACCAGTTTTATACTGGTTAAGTGAGAGAAAAATCAGCTTGTTACAGTTAAACGGTGATCAATTTCCATTTAATTTCTGCCAAAGACCATGTTGGGAGCAAGATTTGCTTGTGTGATTTTTATGTAACTAGGAACAAGAACACAAACAAATGGGAAAACTATTTTAAGGCAATTGATTCAACATAGTTCAATATGCTGTAAGTAAAAATGGTAGGACAGCAAAACAAACAGAAATCCACTGAAAATTGCAGTGCTATCACCAAAATAAGATGTGGCTGTCATATTATCTATCTCTTTTCTTATGGTTCCTAACATTGCTTTTTTGACTGCCACTGCACATTGAACAGATGCTTTTAGAAAACAATCCACAGTGACTCCAAGATCTCTTTTGGGAATGGTAACAGCTAATATGGACCCCATCATTTTGGCTGTATAGCTGGGATTGTATTTTTCGATGTGCATTACTCTAAATTTCATCTGACAAATTGTTGTCCGGTCACTCAGTATGTTGAATGATCTGTTAGTAACTCTTCCCCATCTGCTTGGGATTTAACTATTGCAATTTTGTATTGTCTGAACATTTTGCCACCTTACTGTCTACCACCCTTTCCATATCAGTTATGAAAATGTTGAATGATACTGGCCCCAGCACAAATTCTTGGGGGAACCCTCTAGTTTTCCTCTCTCTTTTCTAAAACTGACTATTTATTCTACCTTTCCCCCGTCATTTAACAAGTCATTGATCCATGTGAAGACTGCAATGGGCTACATCTACGAGTTGGCTCAGAAAAAAATATGCTAACGAGGGACTCATTTGCATGAGTCACAATCTCATTTGCATATTTTCTGTCAATCCGTTCTTGCACTGGGGTTTTTGTGCAAAAACAAGCAGTGCGGACATTTTCTTTTTGCGCAAAAAACCCTTTTTCTGCAAAATCCTTATGCCCAAAAAAGGAGGTATTCTGATCTTGCAGAAAAACGGGGCTCGTTAGCATATTTTTTGCCGAGAAAACTCGTAGTATAGACGTAGCCATGCAATCTCATGATTGTGCCTCTTATCTTACACACTGTACTGCCTATGAGATAGAGGAATGTTTGGGGTCAGTGTAACCCACACACCTCCTGGGTGTGCTGTACTAGCCTAGGTAGTGGCACTTAAACTATTTACAGAGAGAAAGAATGAGTGAGCTTTCAGCCTTAGCTGAAAACCAGCTGGTTGTTAGCTCAAGCTATAGTGGCTCATGCACTAAGCTCCAAGGGTCCCAGGTTTCGTTCTTCCTGTCGGCACTACATAAGCAGTGGGAGCCTGGGGCTGGAGAGGGAAGCTGCTGAACATAGCTTGGGTCAGCTTGGACATAAGTCAGAGACATTTCCAGACTGTTCTAGCTCCTGCCAGAGACCATACCAGTCATTGGCATCACTGAAATCCCAGCAGCATAAAGCTGGTGGAAGCAAAAAAGTTGTACATATGCTCCTATCAGACATTTAAGCTACTGCCTCATGCCAACAACATTGTTGCTAGATGCAAATATAGATTTAGGAAACTAACTTCAAACTATTAGGTTTGATCATGTTGGCCTAGTTGACTAAAATGAGAGAGCTAGTCTCTTACAGAGCTAGCCTTCCATAAGAGCTCTGCAGTGTGTACTGGAGAGAATGTTGTACTTCCTACAGAGGATGATTAACGGGTTTTGCACTCTGGGTGGCTGGAGGGACTTTCTTGCATATTCAGGAATTCACCATGGTGATTAAGCCATAGTAATGTACCTTCCTTCAGGCAGATTTGGGATAGTTTTCTCCATCCTGACAAATCACAATCAAAGGAACAACGACAGAAGAAACTACTGATGCAGCAGAATAGCTTGATGCCCTGATGAAATCACTGTTGACAAAACTGATTTTCTGTAGCCTGCTTACCTCTACCCAGTAGGGCCTTTCTTTCACCAGAAAAAAACCCAAATAGCTGCAGACATGCAATTAGGCTCATGTCTCACATTGGGTCTTCAACATATGAAACTGTGAAATCTAGGGACAAAGCAGTAGCCTTTGATGTTCCTTTCTACTTGTTCTTTGGCTCTATCACAGAAGATTCATGCCTTTATTTGTATCATTTTTAAGGTGGCTTGTACCAGATTTCTGTACCTGAGAACCTTGATCAGGAACTATGATCTTTAAATTAAAGGGCCAGATCCCCAGTGGGGGTAAACCAGAATAGCTCCACTGCAGTCAGTTTAGGATTCTGACACATAATTTGTCATTTTTCATTAAAGAGCATATCCAATTGCCAGAACCCAATCCTACCTCTCTCAATCTGCTCCATACCCACTTAGCCTTCCCTGGGTCCTCTGTACCATCAACTCTGTGCCATATCAGGGATCTTCAGCCACTATGCTATTGCTCCTCAGATCTTGCTTTAAATCTTGTGCAGGAGGCATGACTTAAACTCAATGAAATCTGCATCTGCCCATCATATTTCTGAGTCTATCATTTTTAATCTGCATAGAAAAATTTGATAAAATAATTATTTTAAATTATCATTGAAATTCAGGGAGTTATTTTATTGTACATGTATTTTATGTACAAATAAAAGCATGAATCTTCTGTGTGATTTATAAAAAATGTGTACCATTATGAATAAAGTGACTGCAGAAGCAGGGAGTCAGCTTATGAGCATTCACTTTCTCAAGAACTGTGCAAAAAGCCAACATCAACAACACAGATTGTGAAAAACCTGCTGTTCTGCAATTGATGAATCAATTGCAGGTTTCCTAATTCTCTGATGTGAATAAAGTAAAATCCCTAGAACAGAATTTTGTTACAGGATAAAGGGTGAGGTTGGAAATAAATCCCTCAAGTATAGATTAATTTGGGGGCTTTTATAATCTAATCCATGCCTAGACTTTTTGTCATAGTTTATTTAACATCAGAATACTCTGATTTTGTGACACTAATGTCCTCTTTATCACACATTCTTAACTTTCCCTTTCAAGTCAGTTCCTTTTTAATTCTAGCTGTTGCAATTCTGGTGGTACATGAAACATTTATTCTTTCTTTTTTTCTGGACATTGCTCCACTTTGCGTCTGCTGATTGACACTGGACGGAGTGGACTGCTTCTGTAGTCACCTTGTTCACAGATCTTCCATATAACAGCTTAGATTCAGATCCTAATTAGATAAATTCATTTGAGTGTCCAGAAGTAATTGGCAGACACAATAAGCAGAAATACCCAGTGAAGAAGAGGAAGAAAATGTTCCTGTGTTCTCAGTAACTCTGCAACCGCTTATTACTAATTATTGACTCAAAAAGTGTGAAGAAGATGTAAGAATGTCAGCAGAATAGGACTTTGGCACATGACTTCAATAGGCAGTCTGAAAATAAACAGTGACAGGCTCTGGGCCCATCTGGAGATTAAATGCTTGTGTGCAAGTGTGATGGAGTGGGTGGGGGAGGGGCAGAGAATCCAAAATGAGTAAACGTATTTATACATTCATGCAGTAACAGAAAATATTAATTGTCATATATAAGTGCATCTAACATGCTGCCTCCAGTTGGACCCAGATTTGAAGCTGCCCATTTGCAGATTGCCTACAGTCAGGTGCCAAAGTCCCGCTCAGCTGACATTCTTATCTGTCTCACACACTTTTTGAGTCAATAATTAGTAATAGGCTGTTGCAGGTTCCTGTATAACACATGCTTTCTCTTCTCCATTAGGTTTTTCTGCCCATTTTGTCTGGCAGTCATTGCTGGACACTAGAATGAATTTACCCAATATGGATCTGAATCTTCAGTAGTTCCATGGCAGATTTATGAACAAAGTGATTACAGCAGCAATCCACTCCATCCAATGTCAATCACCAAGCATAAAGAACAGCAATTTGTAAAAGAGAAGGGAAGGTAAAATAATTCTTCCACTTATGAACCTTTATATAAGTCTCAGCCCACAGGTAATTTTTGCAGCTGATCAGCTCATACTGGTCCAGTACAATGCTAACCTTATTTCCCCACTGTTCAATTAGATATTTATTTTCACTGAGTGTATTAACTGTTGTACTTGTCAGTGTGACTTCCCTACATTGCAATCTAAGGTATTCTGATGAAGAAAAATAACACAGAACAAAGCAGACCATATATTTAATTATGATGCAGAATGCAAGTGCTAATCAGCGACAAATGGCAGTTCTGAAAATTACTTTTCAGATTCAGGGGCAACACTGAAGTATTTAGAAAAAACCCCACCTAACCTACCAACCAAACCCATGTTTCAATTTAATGTATAAGTGCAGTGGCTGAGGTTACTATTCATCTATCTAAGTAAAGATATATGTAAGCTGTTTTTGCAAGAAACTGATGCATCTTTATTTGTATTATTATATATGTCACCATGGAGTTTTGAGCATGATGACACCTAGTGGCAAAAATTAATGGTTACATGCTATTCATTGGGCAGTTTAAAGGTTAAGATGAATTACTTGGAGAATACACCCAAGTTTCAAAAGGCCTGAAAGAAGAATGATAGTAAAGTGATATGGACAACGGGAGCTTAACATTCAACTACACAGGACACCAGAAAATTCAGGGTAGGGAACAATCTCGATAGAGGCAGCTGATCCATCTCTCTGCACACATAGGATGTCCTCATTGCTAACTTTTGTGATTCTCTCTGAACTGTCAGAATATTGTGTGAATATAGCACAGCTGTCCCACATGCAGAAGGAAGGAGGCTGGGAAGGAAGGAAGGAAGCCAGTGATAGGGGAGACCTCTGGTCGACAGCCCGTTCTACCACAGGCTTCTTGTACTACCTAGACAAGTCACTTAGTCCAGTCAATGGGAGGTAGGTGCATAATACCTGGGTTTATAGAGCACTATTGTAGTTGGACTGGTCAGCACAAGGCTAATATAAAATCATCCATATAGCTGGAACATCTCGGTTATCTGTCAGTAGAGGAGCTGAGAATTGTATGTTGGTCTAGGACCAGTGATGGGTCAATCTGGGCCTGTGTATAAGTACTATCTGTAGAGAGAAGAACTTAGCATGGTTGAGTTTCTTTTCTGAGGTCAAGAAAGGATAACCTTGTTGAGCAATAAACAAGTTATAGTTATTAGTTTATAAAAGCACCCTATGCGGGGTTAGGCATTTTCCAAACAGTCAAAGAGAGATGATGGTTCCTGCCTGAAGCAGCTCTCAGTCTAAGAGGAGACAGATCTGTAAGCAGAGACCAGGGAAAGGGGAACAACAGATAAGAATTTTTTAATACAAGTCCACTAGATTTGCTGTAGGCAGCACTGCAGGAGTGGGTCTTTAAGAGCAACTTAAATGTGGATGGGGGACATGTAGTCAAGGGAGCCAACAGCCTCCTCAGGCCATTGGACTAGGGCTCCACGCTCTCAGAGTGCAGTGCTGGTCTCCCTAGTCCTCAGAGCCATACAGAGCACATGGCTCTCCCACCGCAATTTAAAGGGTCTGGGGCTCTTGGTCCCTTTGATTTGCTGGGACCTAGGGCATTTGCCCTCTTTCCTTCCACCTGACAACAAGCCTACATGTAGTATATGACATGGATGCAATTAACCAAGATGCTGACAAATAGACTGATTAATGCAGGAACATCGGTGGAGGAGAGGAGGTGGAGGCAACACAATTTAAGTAGGGAGGGGCAGACCTACAGGTTTTGAATATGCATGGGCAGCCAGTGAAAGGAGGCCTCATGTCATGCAAATATACCAAGTATGGGCAGAAGAACATGAGAAAGGGCATAGTATGGTGAAAATACTTGTATGGCTCCCAGCACAAGCAGGCTATCTTCTTCAAAACTGAAAATGATTTCATTACTCATTTTTCTACTATTAGAATAATGCCAAACATTCTTGCTTTGCTGACAATTCTTTCTAATGGCCATGTAAGAATGCAAAATATTTACAAGATTATTGTATCAGTCAGAGAGGAAATTAAGCTAACGTTAAAGTGTCAGGGTCCAACTCTGCTTCGAACTGTACCTCCGCACCCCATTAAAGTTAAACTAACCCAAGTTAAAGTTAACAGGGTTACACAGTTTAGTTGAGAACAGAATTTGGCCTTAAGACCACTCATCTGGTGTATGCCCTCCTCCAGAGGGAAAAAAGATGATTGAAAGGGAAATTATTGTGAGTAATTTAGATGATAAACATTTAAGGGCAGGGACAGGGAGACAACTCTTCATCCCAGTGAAGTAATGGAAAAACTATTAATGTCAGTGAGCTCAGGATTTAGCTTAGTGGGACAGATTTACCACTGTTATAAATTGCCATCATTCATTTCACTTCCACAATGATACACTGATTTACATCAGCTGACAATCTGGCCCATTGATTTTCATTTGTAAAGTCTCATTTTGGTTCTCAAGTACTACTCAGGGGCAAATGCCATAGAAATACCTCAACACATTTCTAATACTGTATAAAGAACAAATAATATATCTTCTGTTATGTTTTGCAGCCAATATTGAAATAGGAGATTTTTATGGTAGCCTTTTACATCATGAAAATACTGTTTGAAAGTGGTTGCTATTACATATTACCTAAGCGGCTCAGCTCATGGTGTGGCTGCAGATTACATTTATTTGGAGTTTAATTTTTGCAGTGAAACCAGTCCAACCACCAATTTACCAGAGAAAAGCTTTTATAGATGCCTGGAATGCATGCACAAATCAGTGCTCATGGAAATATAACATCACACTGAGCTTGAAAATGTTCCATGTGATTAGAAGCCCACTGGCCAAAACAACAGGGCAGAATGTGACCGTATTATTTGTGAATAGACTGGGATACCACCCAGGGCACATATTGCAGGAAACCCCTGTAAATGGTGGCCTACCTCAAAAATTCAGCTTGCAAACTCATCCGGAAAAAGTCTGGCAAGTCTGGCCAAGACATTCATTATCACATGCCTGCTTAAAATTTGGGTTAGCTGTCATAGAATGGGAAAACTGGAGGCCTCAATGGGTATGCAACTGGAACACAAAAAACATTTCCAGGTGAAAGTTGAAAATACAAGGCAATATTTCAGCAAATGATATTGAATATTTAGCCAAACTGTCCTTTGAAGAAAATGCAAAAGCTTTCATGACTAAGACAATTGAGTTAGGGATTGAAAGCAGTTTGGGTTAGCTGTCATAGAATGGGAAAACTGGAGGCCTCAATGGGTATGCAACTGGAACACAAAAAACATTTCCAGGTGAAAGTTGAAAATACAAGGCAATATTTCAGCAAATGATATTGAATATTTAGCCAAACTGTCCTTTGAAGAAAATGCAAAAGCTTTCATGACTAAGACAATTGAGTTAGGGATTGAAAGCAGATTTCTGGGCCTCTGGGGATACTATTTATACCTTGATTGCCACAATTATAATTTCCATGATTCAGACTATACCAGTTCCTGCTCAGAGAGTGAAGTTTTGAGGAACACTGAACATTCCTGGCCCTGGGATAGAAGTGCAGATCTGTATCCTTCCATTGGCATCAAGAAAACATTTGGAAAACATATTATGTTTCTCACAATTTAGGGTCCATGAGAATCTCTTCAATGACATTCCATGATTATGATCTGCTTGGGTATGTCTAGACTAACTATCCCTCGCTTCATTAAAATAAAAATGGCTGCTGTGCTGCGCCGGCTCAGCTGATCGTCGGCACAGTGTGGCAGTCAAGACACAGATCAGTCAACAGGGAATGCTTTTGTTGACCGCTCCCTTATGCCTTGTGAAACGAAGTTTACAGGAGTGGTAGACAAAGGCGTTACCTGTCATCCGATCCGCATCTTGACTGCCGCGCTGTGCCAACAATCAGCTGAGCCGGCACAGAGTGGCGGCCATTTTTATTTTAATGAAGTGGGGGATATTTAAATCCCTGCTTCAATGACTATGTCGGGTAGTCTAATTTACATGCCTCTGTCGGCAGAGGCATGTAGTCTAGACATACCCCTAGTGTCTGTCATACTAGACTAACTTACTGAGATGAACTTTTATTATTTCTTTCTAAAGTAAGCCATTTTTAGAAGTTATTGAGACTGCTTTAACAGATCTAACCATCATTATAGCAGAAATGCTTTGCATGTTTGTAAAAGCTTATATGTGGGTCTACTTTGCTGATTAGCGTTTAAATGTTTTAAATCAGTGACAAATGGCACCCAAAGTTCAGCAGTAACCATTCAATCTGATACATATATTTTCCTATTGGCAGTGTTGCTGTAGCTATGCCAGTTGCAGGATATTAGAAAGACCAACAGGACCAATATGGCCCACCCAGGTCTCCCCAATAGCTCAAATATCCTGTCTCCAGTGTTTTATCCCCGTGGGTATACTGGGGCCCCGTGGGGAACTTTAACAGTGAAAGTAACACAGATTTTGCAATGGGAGAAGCAGGAGGCAGAAGCTCTGATCCTCGAGTGCCCCAGCTACAACCACCAGGAACGTAAGCCCCCAGCTCCAGGAGGTGTTGCTGAGAGTGAAAACCCCATCTCCACAGGAGCTGCTGAAAAAAGAAATCCCAAGCTCAGTGCCTGGAGCTGCTGCAGGAATTGCAGTGAGGTGGGGGGAGAGAGCCCAGCTGCCAGGCTGATGCAGCACAGAAGTGAGGAGCTGATCTCCCCACCAAGAATGGCTGTGCAGGGGAAGGACAACTCCTCTCCATCCCCAGCACAGCAGGCATCAGGAGATATTTGATTTCAGGGGGAGAGGCTAATTTCACTGTCCATGACATGTTTTTCATGCCTGTGAAATTGGTAGGGCCCTATCTATAATGAAGGTTGCATTTAGATGTAATTAGTTGATTTAAATTAGGAATCTGTCTAGATACCAATTGTGTTCACACCATTTTCTAGCAGGCTCAGGGTCTTAGTATGGTAGAGAAGAGCCAAAGTGCAATTAGATAAAGGTTTGTATGTCCTCAACCTGGACTCTTAGCTGGGCCTGTCAGTTACAGATAGCGCCCAAGTTGAGCCCTTTGTAGATTCAAAGTTGTTAATACATCACGGCTGTGTCTAGACTGCACCCCGTTTGCGGAAAAGGAATGCAGATTAGACACAGCACAATTGCAAATGAAGTGGGGATTTAAATCTTCCCCACTTCATTTGCATGAACATGGCTGTCACTTTTTTCTGGCTTGGGGCTTTGCCAGCAAAAAGCGCCAGTCTAGATGGGGATGTTTCGGAAAATAAAGCCTTTTCTGAAAGATCCCTTATTCCTCTTAAAATCAGGTTTCCATCGCACTCTGCAAGCTCACCATGCCGGACTGCTACCTCTCTGTTGGGAACCCGTTCGGCATGGGGAAATCCTCAGCTGGGGCTGTGCTCCTGCAGGTGGCTAAAGCCATCAACCAGGTGCTGCTATGGAGGGTTGCAACTCTGGGGAACATTAACAGCATCGTTGATGGCTTTGCTGCCATGGGCTTCCCCAACTGTGGGGGAGCCACAGATATCGCTCACATCCCCATCTTGGCCCCCGACCACCATGCCTCAGATTACATAAACAGGAAAGGGTACTTCGCCATGGTGCTGCAGCCCTCATAGATCACAAGGGATGCTTCACCGACATCAACATTGGCTGATCACAGAAAGCACACGACACCTGCATCTTCCAGAACTCCTGCCTGTTCTGAAAGATGCATGCCGACACCTTTTTCCCCACCCACACCGTCAGAGTCAGGGAGGTGGATGTGCCCATCTGCATCCTGGGTGATGCAGCCTACCCTCTGCTCCCCTAGCTCATGAAGCCTTACATGGGTGGCCAGGATCCCACTCAGGAGCATTCAATGCCAGGCTGAGCAAGTGCTGAATAGTCATAGAGTGTGTATTCGGCTGTTTAAAGAGGTTCCAGAGTGTTCTCACCCATCTTGACCTCAGTGAGTGCAACATCCCCTTTGTGGTGGCAGCCTGCTGTGTGCTCCACAACCTGTGTGAGAGCAAGGAGGAGACTTTTCTGCCAGGGTCGGGGCAGAGGCTGATTGGCTGGCCACGGCATTCAAGCAGCTGGACACTAGCTCTATCAGGAGAGCACACTGAGGGACTGTGCTCATCAGAGAGGTCTTGAGGGAGAGTTTAATGCAAGCCAGTTGTGAGATTCTCCTCTGTGCCTCTCTACATGGGGTCCCTGCATTCCCTCTGTGTGTCTTTCCTTCCCTGTCCTTCCCTTCCCTTGCCTTCCCTTTCCACCTTCTCCCCTCCCCTGAAGAGCAAATAATAAAGCCTTCCTTGGTGAAAAAAAGACTGTTTATTGGGGGTATATGCTGCAGGGGAGGGACTGGGGCAAGACCCTGGAATAGCAGAAGTGGGGAAAAGGGTTGAGGCTGGGACTGGCACCTACCTACGGTAGCTAAGGAGGCTTTGGCTGCTTGAGAGGTCCTACCATCCCATGTTCTCGGGCACCAGCAGCCCCTGGGGAGCTAGGAGAAGTCACGGGGGTGGGTGAAGAGGTGGCTGGTGGCCCACTCCATGTATGAGGCCATGCAATCCATCATTATGGTGAGGGAGGATCACATGGCCTCGTATTGGCATGCCATCTGGTCCTAGGCAGCCTTCCGCTGCTCCCAGTTAGTGGCCCACACGTGGTGGTCTTCTTCGAGGCCCAGAAAAACTGCAGGCAAGTCATTTGCTCTCTCATTAGGTCCTCCTGGGTTCTCTTCCTCCTGTGGATCCCATGGAGTTGGGTGAATGGTGTGGGGATGCACCAAGTGCACAGCTGGCTCAGCTGTGAAGAAAAGCCACAAGAGCGGTCATCCCAGGAGACACTGTGTATGAAGCCTTATCCTCATCTCTGAGCTGACACTGAAGGTCTTGGGTCAGATAGTGGCGATGTGCTTCAAGCAAGGCCGTATGTTGCTGAGGTAGTGGGCACTTTCCAGCAGGGCACAGAAGTCCCAGGGGCTCCTCAAACACCCACAGATCAGGGACAAGCAGGCATGGGAAGGTGCTGGCCAGACCTTGCGGGAGGGAGGGCGGAATGGGGCTTTCTACTGTGTCCTGCACATACCAGGTCTGGCAGTGGCTGTCCCCCACAGAGAGAACCTCTATCCCTGCCCAGTGGAGGAAGGGAGAGAGATATTGGGAGAGGTTTGTGTGAGTGGCAGAGGCCGCTTGCTGGAGAGAGTGCTACTGGGTTCCCCTGCACTTCCTCTTCCACAGTCTCCTCCGCAACGCTGCACTTGACTGGGAGTGAATGCTGCCTGAACGCAGGCATGACCCTGTGTCATGTCTCACCACAAAGGCTGGAATAAGGCAGGCCTCTCCAGAAATCTTGTGAGAAGGATTGGGGGGGTTCCTGTGTGAGAGCGTCATGGAGCTGAGTGTTCCAGACTGATGCTCCATGTGCACCCACGGGCACAGGCTGTTGTGAGACCCCCAGGATGAGTAGGCAGAGTGAGGAATACACAGCTCCTGGCAGCCCACCACCTGCCCCTGCATGTAGACAGAGGAAGTTCTGGAGTTCACCTGAAATGCCTTCCCTGGGTTCATCCAAGGCCTGGGACACATCCTGGGAGGCAGGGGACCAGTGCCAAGGGGAGGAGCGGGTCCTGACTGGCAGTCATGGTTAACTGGATGGCCTCCTCCTTCTCCTCCTTGTCTGCAACCCTGTCCTCATGGAGGCTGACACTGGATGTGTGCTTCCTGGATTTAATGACAGGGGGAAAGGAAGGTGACCTCCCTCCCTCGCCAGGATGGCATCGAGCTGTTTGTTGTAGCAGCACATTTGTCCGCTCTGCTCCCTGGCCTTGTTGTAGGCCTGCTGGAGCTCTTTTATTTTTATCCGGACCTGATCAAGGGTCCAGGTGTGGACTTTGTCAGCCAGGCTGGTGGTCATCCAGCTGTAGACTTCAGCATTCTGCTATCTGATGTGGAGATCCTAGAGGATGGTCTCCTCCTGCCACATCTCAATGAGGTCCAGGATCTCCACACCAGTCCAGGCTGGAGCTCTCCTGCCTCTCTCGTCAGGGGCAGATGAAGGTACTGCAGGAGTTCTGGCAGCCGTTGGAGGCTCTGAGAGATCATCGGGGTCTGCCATGGCTCCTTCGGTTCCTGCTCTATGGCACATGGTTTGCCAAGCTGGCCATGTGCCATAAACCCTTCTCCTGCAACCTGTACTTATAAGCTCTGCAGGAGAAGGGGAGCACTGGAGATGACAGGTGTGGCCAGAGTGGTCACAAGTGCAGCTGTGAGAAGCCTCTAGAGGCCAATTATTTAAAATTAGCAGCATTGGAGCATTCACACAAATGCTATTTTGAAATAATTTTGAAATAAGCGTTATTCCCCGAGGAAAGGAGGAATACACATTTTGAAATAACCAGCCTGTTATTTCGAAATAAGGGTGATTATTTCAAAATAACTCCTTAGTATAGACCAGGGCTGGGACACCTCTATTCGATTTCCTCCTCAGCAGGAGAAGGGTTTGATCAGTGATCTCCTGTTTCTTGGAAGAGCACCATAATCACTGGGCCATGGGAAAACTCCCCCAGTGTTGCCTGTTGAAATGCTTCAATTTTTAATACAGGCAGTCCCCGGGTTACGTACAAGATAGGGACTGTAGGTTTGTTCTTAAGTTGAATCTGTATGTAAGTCAGAACTGGCGTCCAGATTCAGCCGCTGCTGAAAGTGACCAGCGGCTGACTACAGGAAGCCCGAGGCAGAGTTGCTCTGCCCCGGGCTTCCTGGAATCA